GTCCCAGATAGACAGACGCGAAACCGTCATTCGAAGCGAGGGTAAGAGTTGAGAACGTTTTTGCAGCGAAGTCATTTGAGCAGCAGAAAATTCAGATTTGCGAAAGGGTTGAAGAGCGACTTTTGTAACATTACATGAGACTTTCAAATTAAGGGTAATGAAAGATTTTCAAGGAGATGTAAAATCAATCTCGGATAATTGAAGACATAGATGTGTTAACCCCTTGATGCACAATAGTGCACCAAGGGCATAGTGGCAAAGAGGACGAGAATATTTGCAAAAAACTCAAAACATACCACAAAGTCACTTCCACTGTTCTGCGAAGTCATCAATATCTGAAAGAGTGCTTGGACGAGTTTCCGGAATCGCGTGGCACAGTCAGCCAGCATTTGTCGCAAAACGTGCTCCATTTCGCATGTCGCGACCCAGTGCTCTCCCGGCGCAGCCTCTAGAAGGTCGTATGACACACCATTCATTCAGTCTATGAGATCACTTTGGGTTTGGAATGGGTTTTAAGTTCTCAATGTCACAAGGTGACCTATAAGGTGACAAGTACGCGTCGCGTGCTTGGCGCGTGTGCACATGTACTTCGAAGGGAGACTTACTTATCAATATTTATCATACATGAAAGGATTCTCTGTTAAAACCGCATGCTGAAATTAGAGGCGAAAAATGCAGGGAAAAAAGATAAGGAAATTTTCTAAAGTGCGAATAAACAGCTGTAGTGATCAAATCAAAGCCAAATCGATGATCACATACACATACAAGGGATTATCAGTTGATTCGAAGCGAGATAGGGTCACATAAAACTTTCTGATTATATGCACATGAAAAATATACGTGTACAGGCAAATGAGCATTTATAGTAAGGCAACAGGCGCATGTGCTAAATCATGGCTGCTAGTCGATCAATCAATTAATCAGTCATTGATACGATACAGGAAAACGTGATATTAGTTAATATTATATGTATGTATAAACAAGATCCAGAACAGGGATTACTGTCGGGGGGACATGGGTCACATGACAAAGTGAAACAAAGCGGTCGTGGAATGTGAGATGTCATTGACGGCGCTCCTCGAATAGATCTAAAGTATTCTTCTAGGGACTACTGTCGAAAGCTAGATTTCACAGCGGTGTAGATGTGTGGACCCTTGATGGGAGTGTAATCGTTACCATTGGCATCATCGATGGAACTGGGTGATCTGAACATCCATTTGAAAGCATGGATTAATCATAGCTCAAATAACGTACTCCCAATAGTTAATTCAAAGCTCGTTCAAATAAAAGTGGAACCAGCGGCAAACATAAGCAAAAAACTTTCATTGAATTTCTTGGGTGTAGTGCAGTAGGACCGAAAATGCAGCGTCGCGGCGAAAGAGACGCCGCGCGCGAAGGATAGCGGCAGAATCACCAAGTGAGAAGTACAAAAGCAAAAGAACTAACATTAGAATCATGCAAAAATAATAATCGCATATCGATTGGTCCGCGACTGCCGCGCGCGGCGAATCGATTTTACAAAACCGATGCTACTGCCCGTCTCCCAAATTTCTGCCATTAATGCAATTCAAATCCGAAAAAAAGCCGACCGTGGTGAAGGAGAACAGATCAAACTTTTGGCGTTTGTTTGAATGAACCTTCATCTTCAAGATCGTCGAGTTCCCCACCATCGGTTCGACGTCCCATAACTTTTGCGCTTTCATTCGCCCCAGACGAGGTGAACAGCTCAGAACACGTGGCTTCGTACGATACTAATGTAAGCGCTGGGGTGGACTCGCCACAGCTCCGTTTTGCATAATTTAGGGTAATCAGCGTTTGAAAAAGACACCGTTCGTTGACTGCAATGTTTCTCCAACTCTTTGACAAACCCCTTTCTCGGAGGTCCGCACGCTTACGTGAATAACTACGTAGGCTGCCTTTTATATTTCGGGATTTGAGAACAGGAACAGATACTATTTATTGAAAATCGCTTAAGTGCCTTTCAAAATTCTCCACATTAACATCTATACACTTTTGTATGGGCTCGAACCAATTTTCGAAACACTTTTGCCACTCTGATTAAAGTAACTCTAAAACATGCATTCTGAACGCATCAACGGCTTCTTCAGGTGTCGAAAAACGTTGACCTCTCATTTTATTTTTTACGTACGGGATGAGAAGAAGTCACCCGGGGGCTACATGGCTGATGACCTGTCAAATCGTTGTTTTGAGTGCTC